ACTTTCAAGAATATATAATAATGTCAAAAAAAAGAGCAAAAATGGCAATTAGTAATAGCTTAAAGCGTGAAATTTGCGAGTATAGCAATAAGTTTCTGCATGAAACACAATCAAATATCGCAAATTATTTTAATCAAAAAAATTCAATTTTAAATATTGATTGCTCAACAATTTAAAAATTTTTAAAAGAAAAAAAAAATGGTTGGCAATTGAAAATAACAAAACTAGCATAACAACTTTTCGTCACAACAAAGTTAAGTTCCCATTATTAGATAAGGCCATACAACTTTGGGTTGAGCAGATTATAAGTGGTCAAATATTTTTGACAGATTTAATTATTAAAGAAAAGACTGCATTTTTTGCCTGGGCATTAGGCTTGCCAGATAGCGCATTAAAATTTTCTAATGATTAGGTCTATAAGTTCAAAAAACAGAATAAGCTACAAAACTATCAGTTATATGGAGAAGCCAATAGTGCACTGATGGAAATACTTTCAGAACAAAGAATAAAATTTCGTGAAATAATAAAAGAATATTCATTAGAAAACATTTTTAATGCAGATGAGACAGGGCTATTCTTTTGGATGGCACTACATCAAACGCTCTTATCGCAACCACAATCAGGATGGAAAAAGGTCTTTATTGTGTACAAGTTTAAACCAGAATAATAAAATAAAAAATTATTTGTATGCTGTTTTTAACAAAAATTTAAAAATTTTAATTTTGTTTTAATTATTGAATTAACTTTTTTAAAATCGTACACGCATTACTGTAATGTTGACAGCAAACGCAACTGAAACTGAAAAATAAAGCCAATAGTTATTGGATCTTCTATTGAACCCCATGCTCTAGCCTGTTTAAATTATGATACCTTACTTGTTACATACCAGTCAAATTTAAAAGCCTGAATGCGATCAGATATCTTTGGCAAATGGCTTACAGAGCTTGATAAGAAGTTTTGCTTGAAAAACCAGCATATTTTGTTGTTAGTTGATGGCATATCAAGCCATTATAATTCTAATGAATCTAATGAAAATAATGATGAATATAATGATTCTAATGAAGATGTGTCAGAATCAGATGAAGAATTAAATAGTGAAGAAGAGGAATTAGAAAGTGAAAATTCGGATAATAAAGATAGTCATGCAAGCTCTTCTAAGAACTCTACTCGACGTGGCCATGGTCACCCAAGATTAAGCGCTAGTAACATAAATAAACAAAGTGGATGAAATTCTCGTGGTCATGGCCATGGCCGTGGTTATGGTCATGGTCATGGTCATAGTCGTGGGCAGGCTTCTTGTAGTAGCAAGGGTTGTCAAGGCCGTGCTCATCCTTATAGACTTCCAGAACCTTCTGAAACTCCTTTAACAAATATCAGGCTTGAGTTTTTGCCACCTCACACTACTGCTCACCTGCAACCGATGGATGCAGGTATCATCAATTGCTTTAAAGCAAAGTACAAAAGAAAATACATACAACATATAATTGATCAATTTGAAAGGGAGAGGATTTAAAAATGTAAGAACATATCAATGAGCCTAGTGTTACTAATCTAAAAAGCTTTACTAAGAAATTTTCACTGTTGGATTAAGGTCAAGTTTCACTATTAGGTTAGGTTATAATAATTTTCAAGAAAAAAATTTTTCTTTAATGCAGAAGGCAGTTTCATAGCACTGCAGCGTAAAATTTTGTGGCATAGACGATTTTTGGATTGTTATAATTTTTTGCGTTACACATAATCTTTGAAATTTGATTGGCCAGTGAAGTTTTTTAGGTGGTAACGCTAGTGCTGTAGTATATTTCTTAATACGGCGTTCTGGCTGATTGAGCTTTTTTTCTAATTTTAGTTTGGTTTCAACAATACTGTATAGCACTGCATATAATATCCAAAATAGTATGATTCAATCGTTAGATTAGTGTAGTACCCAGATCTACATATATGCAATGCTAAACGATAATTGTTTTTTTTTGTTTTGGTGCTACCATTTTTTTCTATAGAATAGTTTTAAAGAATTTTATTAATTTAAACTTTCTTGAATTATACAGTCAAAAATTGAACATTAGAGAAGCGATAACTTATGTTGCGGAATCATGGGATGAAGTTGAAATATCAACAATTGTGAATTGTTGGGTAAAAACTGGAATTCTTCCAGAATTATCTGGTGATGAAATTGAAGATGCTACTTTTGCCCTGCAAGACTTGGTGGATTTTGAAAAAAATGAAAATGATGAATTAATCATAGACCTAACATCGAATTCATTAGAACCGACAATTGAGCATGAAATAAATAACTTCAACAATTTAAAAAATTTTCAAATACTTATAGAGGATACTCTTGATGAAATGCAAATTGTAAATATTGTATTATATGAATAACGAGAATATGAAGAGTTTCAGATCGTTGTTAATTCAAGGAACCAGAAAGATGAATATCTGCTTGGCAAGCTCCAAGTAGAGAGGTAGTTTGACAGTATTACATAAAGGGTTATTACTAGAAGAACTGAATGGGACCAAAGTGTTAGGCAAGGCACTTCACCAACCAGGCTGCCAGTAGAATAACCGGAGGAAAAGGACCCAACCGTGGGGACCAGGAGCAGATCACAGCTTTTCTGGGCTATCTGGATTGGTAGTTTGAAATAGTTGGAGATACTGGTAATATCTGTAATGTATGTACTGGGGTTTGAGTGAACTCTACAAGGGCAGAAGTAGGTTTGAGTAGCGAAGCTCAGCCAAATTGGAGTTAAATCTAGATATGTTAAAGCTGAGAGAAAAACCGTAGACAAAGATCTCGACCTGTGCTATCCACACTTTCAGAATAGACAAAACTGAGCCACAAGTAATAGGCTACAGCCCTGCATACCAAACTAAAGCACAGGCTAGGTTCAGTATAAAGTAGAAATACTGCAGGCTCTGCCAGGTTTACCTTAAGGATAAAGTAGTCCTAAGTCGGTATATGTAAAATAGTGTATCAAGAAGAACTGGTTTCCAAAAAACCAGAAAAAAGATGCTAATTGATATGGATCTTGGAGTATATAGGTGCAGAGAGTTTAAAATGGGTAACTCTAGTTGGGTTGCAGGTATGACAAATAGTGTAGAACTTAGAAATAGGCAGACTACTTAAATAGGTGCTTAAAAAGCACAGGTATAGCTAAATATACTCTCCAAATATGTATAATAATGTTCTCACTCAATAAAACATAACATGACCAAGAGGTCACCTTAATAACAAAAAAAAAAATTATATACACAAAGTTGATCTACAATCTATTTTATATGAAATTAAAAATTTGTATACTCTACACTTGAAAAAAAATTAAATATTTTTTTTCAGTATTAAGGTAAAGCCTTACTCATATCTTTATTAATAGTTTTTATCATATTAACTACAAGAAGTTGCTAATCTTAATATATAAAATATAAAAAATAAAAACTATATACAAGAATAAAAGCTTAGACTACTTTATCTATGATCTAAACCTACTAAAGTAGTCAAAGACTTACCTAGATTTTTTAAGAAAAAATAAATATAGAGTAAATAAAGTATTTAATTAAATAAATTTAAAAGTAAGGAGTATGGCGACTTAGTAAAGTAGTTAAGTTGTCGCACCCCGAGTATCAAGGTCTAGAGTTCAATTCCTACAGGTAACAATATTTGAAAACTATATCTTGAATATCCTTTTATAAGAAGAATATACGAACTTAATTGGTGCTGGTGTCTGACTGTAATTGTGGTTATACCAACTCAATTTAGAAAACGGATTGGTGCCCATTGTGTAAAGATCCCACAAGGCTAATCCCAATTAGAAAAGTTACTTGCAAAGTCCTGAATATAGTATCCATATCTGAAAACCCATACCGCAGAGAGTCATGATTAGGAATATGGAGGAATGCAAGCTGGTATATATAAACATACCCCTGAATGTTGTAGAATAGTCAGTGCAAACCCATGATAAATCTATATAAGGGTTATCTTAGCCATATAGAGTAGGACTATATGTTAGCTTCACAAATATACAATATGTACACAAACACAAATACAAACATTAACTAAGACTAGCCCGTCTAAAGCTTGAGAATAAGACGTTAAAAGGCCCTTTGAAAAAAGGGTCTGGGATGGTCCTCAATACGTTAGCCATCCCCCATATCTCCAAAAAACCTCAATTTGATGGAAATCTTAACAATACTAGACTAATCAGTCTAATTGAACATATTAAAAAACTTTATACTAAAATTCCTACAAATCGACTAACTAAAACTTTTACAACATATACTATACTCAACCCACACAATTATGTTGCGCTCCCAGACAACTCAACAAACAATCTAATACATATACTTAACAATTTCATAGAAAATGCTACTTGCAACAAAAAACAAATATAGATACTCTTACAAGACATGAATAAAGCATACGACTCTGTCAATTTACACCTTCTTATCAAAGTATTACAAAGACTCAATATGCTTTTACAACTTACAAATATTATACAGAACCTCTTACACAACTGAAGTAACCAAGTTATTATCAACTTTGGACTTACAATACCATACTTAGTAAAGGATGGTATTGACCAAGGAGAAACCATAACACCTTTACTTTGGC